TCAATCCTTGTCCATGCCCGTTTTTGCCCAGGTCTTGCGTCGTGCGCAGCTTGGACTCAAAGCAGCAGCAGCAGGAGCAGCAGGAGAGGATGACGAGGGGGGAGAGGGTGATGGGGCGAAGGGGAAGAAGCCTGAGGGGAAGCCTAAGGCCAAGGCCAAGGCCAAAGGACGTCCAAAGATGAAAGCAAAGGCAAAAGCCAAGGGTCGGGGGAAGAGCAAAAAGGTAGAAGATCCAGAGAACTATGCTCAAGAGACAGGTGAAATCAGTCCCAAGGAGAATGGGGAGGAAGACCAGGTGGATGAGGAGGTGGCAAAGAATACAGAAAGGCCAAGTGAGGTGGAACCAAGGCGAGGTCGTTTGAAGAGGCTGCAAAGTGCAGCATGCATACCCAACAATTTTCTTGAGGATGACTGCGAAGAGGAATCTGAGCAGGAGAAGGTGATGGATGAAGGAGGTCAAGACATAGGCGAAGGCATGACTGGGAAGAAGGCATCGCAGTCAAAAGAGACAAAGCCAGAAGAGAAGGAAAAGTCAGACACGGAGGTCAAGCCGAAGAAGCGGGCAAAGAAGGAGACAGCCAAGCCAGCAAAGGCAGAGCCAGGAGATTTGCCAGAACAGACAAGAAAGAGAAAGAAGACAGGTGAGGAGCCGAAGGTTGAAGAAGGTGAAGTGCAGCCTAAGAGACGGGCATCCCGCAAAAAGAAGGAAGGGGAGGAGGATAAGGGACAGGAAGAGACAACTGGGGACGATAAGCCAAGGAAGAGGGCTGCTGAGAAGGAGTCTTTTGCCAAGAGGGTTGAGCCTAAGGGAGGGTTCAACAAGATCAAGTGGGCTGCGCTAAGGGATGTTTTCTCAAAAATGATCATGTCGGAGGTGACCTGCCTTTCAAAGCACGAGGACTTTTACCTCGAAAAGTGCATGGGCTGGTGTAGGAGGCTGAAAAAGAAGCACATTATTTTGCTATGGGTTAGCCATTTTTGTTGCGTTTTTTAAATGATTGTCAACAAAGATGAAGCGGTCCTTTTGAGCGGCTTGCCATCATAAACAAAAGGTGATGGCCGCCCTGTCCTGTTACAACCGCCCATAAAAAAATTGTGCTTAACCTCCAAGGCATGACTGCCATATTAATCATTCCACTGTGCAATCATCCAGAAAAGGGTCATCATCATATTTTAATTTCAATGATGTTTCACCCTTCTAAAAAGCACCTCCACAGAATGGGATTAACCTTAAATTCTACCACTCCAACACGTCTTCTTTACTTTAGAGGTTCTTACTCCAGATTGGTTCATGGTTTAAGCCATGGACTAACCAAAAGAACGCAGCAATAGATATGATATGATCAATTATGTTGTATCTAAACCATCTTGGGATGAGAATTCCACCAAAATATTTGTTCTGCTATCTTTATACTTGGCATGTCAGCGCCCTAGCCCTTGAATTTCTGGCCGGGACCTCTTTTGGAAGTTTTGCTCGAAGCGTTGGGAGAACGTGAAGACCAACGAATTGAATTTGGGGCTGACTCTTGGTATGGCCGCAGCGGCAGCTCCGGACTACTTACAGAGTCTGCAGGCTGATTGATGCTAGAGGCTTTTCACGACTGGCGCTGAATATGTCATGTTGGGACCATCGAATCACTTTCAAACCCTTCAACAAAAGTAAAATCTCAGTTCACAATAATCTCTGCAAAGTTTTTTACCTTCTTGAATGTTGTCAGTCAGGGTGCTCGTTTGGCCTTATTTCGATATGTTGCCCAGCCAGATGGCTGGTCATTTAATTCTGATTGGGGAATCACCCAAAGGTTCTCGCAGCAGTAGGGCACGCGGCAGCTGGTGATGAGGCCACGGCCAGAGAGATCATTTGATTCATATCTTTTCAAAGTTACTGTTCTCCAGTTGGTCTACCAAAGATGTTCCAAAAGAAAAGGTTCAAGTACATCATAGTTGAACCTATTTATTTTCCCTTCCACTGGACGGAGCCCCTGTGCCAATCCATTTGGACAATAGATCCTGCGCCCATTCGCCACTGCTGTAGCTAGCTCTTGGAACAAAAATCAGGCCAACCAGGGTTGAAAGTTGGAAGCCTCGATTTATAAACACATCTATTTTTACAGATCAGGCATAATGATCATACAAAAGGTATCAAAAGGTATCGTTCATGAGAAATTCCAACCCATGTTGTGTCCCCATGGATATGTTCATCCCCGTGTTTCCCCGATTCTAATTCATTACTCCCTGGCCCTAAGGCCAAGACCGCCTGACCGGATCAATGCTGGCAATGGAATCCCAGACTCGCTTGGGGTTCAGCTGACTGGTTGGTGAGGAATGCATTCTTTCTTTGGGGAATTGTAATTTCAAATTGATGATTTCTGATGGGTCCTAATCTTGGATGATGGGTTCTTGGGTCCATCACTTCTCCCATGCAACAATGCTGCTGGAAACGATGGGAAGGGCAACTGCGAGTCCCAGCGGGATTTTGGCTCTCCAGCCGTTCCACATTGGAAATTTTTGAAGTCGGTATCATTGAGCCCAGCGCAGAAGGATAAGTTGAACATAGTTCTGCGGCGGCTCTACATTATTGGTGCCCCGAATGCTTCAAACAATCACACATGTCAGATTGATGGCATGCATGCTTTGGGCTTGATAAAAAATACGTTTGATTGACTTATGACCATGTGAGTTTTCTTTTCTACATTCCGTAGCCACACCTGTCATATTATTTCCCCAATTTGGGATCTCTATACATTGGTGTCAAACAGTAGAGGCATAATTAAAGTCTTTCCGGGCAAACAAACATCACCATTGGTTCACTCTGCCAATCCTGCCCGGGTGTTCCCGAATGGAGGTGCTGATGGGCTGCATCATCCTGCTTTGCCTGAACAGCGGTGTGACCGTTTTTTCAGAGGACACTGGGCATGGGAGGGTGGGCCATCCGCAATTATGTCGTGAATTTTATATCCATCATTCCCCACCTATGATCAACCAAGCTATTTGTTTCAACATGTTATATGCCCGTTGTTGCCCCAGGCCTACGGGTTCGTGGAAATATTCCGTGGAGATGCTTGGGTCAGCAAATGTATGAAAGCCAACGGAATCCCCACTGCATCTTTTGATATCAGGTTTGGGAAGCCATAGCTGGCAAACAGGATGCCATTAACTTGTTGGAGGACTCTGGGTATGCGTTTTTCACCTGAACATACCTCAACTATTGGCATTTTTTCACGAAGGTTTTCAAAACACAAGAAGCTTTGCTTGTTGGTATAGCCCCCCAAAGATCATAGAACTCAGAATAAAAGGTATCAGTATGATGGGATATGACTACTATAGTTAGCCTGTTGTGGAGTCTGGGTCCATTATGGCCATCTGCTGCCTGAGGTTAATCCTGTTGGCAATCCTGAACGCCCGCTTTGACGACTTCTTGGCTTTGTTTGGCCTGGTTTGTGCTTCATATGTTACCATTTCAAAAGGTAGCCACTGGTGATGCCCTAGTTTTCCATTGGGCCTGGATTCTTCCGAGTTTGTGCGTCATGGAAATGAATTCACCTCCAAGACTCTTTCTTTAATTCAGGGTGTGGATATACATGTTATTTGATATAGACCCCAAAGTTTTTTGCACAACATCAACAATGAAATTTGGTTTGGGGAATTGCCTATCTTGTTGGAGCGGATATGCGGCCCCATTTTTAACATACATTATCAACACATATATGTCGAAACAAAGTTGTTGGTTGAGTGTTGGGAGAAGCCGGTAGCCCACCCACTCTATTGATTCTTTTGGAATACCACCAAAGACAACCAACGATGTAAGTGGTTTGGGGGCTCTCATGGGGGCAGCTGTTTTTCATTCCGTATTACCTGTGATGGTTGGCCCCATTTTTAAGTTCAAACAAGTAGTAGAAACTTCAAGGGGGCTATCTCTTCCAAACACAGATTCTGCTGCCATCTGCGTGTCTTTTATTTATCCCTGTGATATCCTTTGGGTTGCCGAACCAGGTAAGTAGTGAAGGCTCCTTACTTTCATAATCCTGCGTGTTTGTGGCAGGGCCAACCATCAGGGTAGGTGGCATTGGATATCCTCTGTGAATGACTGGCTTATCAGTGTGGTTGAAATGATTTCACAATAAAACATGTCAACCTTCCTTATCGACAGTTACCCCCTATTTATGTATAATATTTATATGTAACTATGCACTATATTCACCCATGTTACATGTGGAGACTTCCCCATTTATTCCTGGCCATGGCCGGCTCTAAGGACGACCCTTCTGATACTTGCCGTGGTTGCAATGGGTGGGGCATGGCTTTTGGAACAGCCATGCTCCACAGTTGTGGCGCCTATTGCCTAAGGTGTCTGGGAAAAAACTCCAAAGTTTAATTTAGCTAGGTTCAAGATAGGTGGTAGAGGCCTTAAGTAAGATCCAAACATGTCTGGTACGTACGGCTGGTAGGTTTGGTTTTCTTGGTACGGTACGGTTGGTACGCTTAGTAAGGTACGTTTGGTACGCTTACCAACCGTACCGACCGTACCAACCATACCAGTGAACCGTACATAACCGTACCACCGTGGCGTACCAGATTAAGGGGGGGTCAAGGGGGGGGCGTTTTGGATGTACCAATACTCCTTTGACCCCCCCCTTAATCTGGTACGCCACGGTGGTACGGTTATGTACGGTTCACTGGTACGGTTGGTACGGTCGGTACGGTTGGTAAGCGTACCAAACGCACCTTACTAAGCATACCAAGCGTACCTACCCAAAGCGTACCAACCGCACCAAGCGTACCGTACCAAGCGCACCAAGCGTACCAAGCGTAGCGTACCTATCTTATAGCTGGATATCAAGCACCTATCTTGAACTTAGATAAAGTTTAATGATCATTTGTTTCTATTAACTTTGGTATGTTTCCCATGATAATAAATGAACAATCTGACCCCTTTAGGTGTATGAAGCATCATGGTGGGCTGGAATGTATGGCGCCCCAACATGGAAGAGACATGTTGCATGGTAGAGCTCTCCTACAGTCCATGCCTTGATCTAGGCCGTTTGTGTGCCAAAGTGAAAGCAGAGATTGCCAAGTATGGTGTGAAATCAACCCACCAATGGAAATCCAAAACAGGGAAGAAAAAATTATGTGGATCAAAGGCTTTAAGTGCCACAGGGTCCTTGGACTCATTTCATCAACTGCTTTGCAGGGTTCCAAAGCCATGCACATGTATGGGATATGTATGGGTGCCCACTGATTTAGAGCAAGACAACATGTATGATTTTTGTTCAAAACAATGATTTTCCCCAACCAGCTAAGTTATTTTCTGTGACTATTTTCCATCATCATATGAGATAGCTGAGGTCGTATCCTCCACGCCTCCACGCTTTGGGTTGAAGATGGCCCAGTTGTACCCACGCTTTGTGGCTTCCCGTCCCCACGCTTTGTGGCTTCCCGTCCTTACATCTATGGAACTCGCCCAGACCTGCCGTCGTTAGGCATCGAGCTCTTCGCATCCATGTCATGGGAAACTGCTGACTGGTGGGAGGATGCCAAAATGGAGTCAGTATTCCGATACCCAAGAGCCTCCTATGACCTTAGGTTGGATGGCTTGAGGCATTTTTTCCAACGGAAATTTGATCTCATTGCCTGTTGTCACCGGCATTAATTATTACTTGTGGGGCTTTTGGCAGGGTACTTCCCAACATCTCTTTTTTATTTACACTATTGTACATGATATCAAGGCTTTATCCCAATGTTTCTGGAAACAATACCCTGAAGAGTTAATAATTGAACTTGTTTAGAATGGAAAGTGATGTTGGAGTTGATCGACCAAAGAGCCTTAAACGTAGGCTTGGGACAACACCAGGCCAAATTCAGGAGTGACAACTCCAATTGCCGCTGACCAAGTAAAAATAATCGTCTTCATCAGTTCATCAAGGGTTTGGATTTGTTTGTTTACTTTTCCAGATCTGATGGTGTGTGGCAACCCCCAAACATGTTCGTTTTGAGGGAACATCCTCATTTTTAACTGATTTTTGATGGGATTTGGGAATACGTATTTTGCATGTATTTAGTACGTATCGGACCCGTATCGTACCCGTATCGTAC